CCCTTCCATCTCTCTCTCTCTCACGTCCAAACTCCCGGGGCCACCCTAAAATGCTTTCCGTCGGTCAACAACCCTCTCTATATCTTCACTACTTATACAGGAAGGCTGTCAAGAAGGAATTTATAACTATTTAATTTCAACTAAAGAAAGTATGTCTCAACTGGATAAATTCACTTATTTCACACAATTCTTTTGGTCATGCCTTATCTTTTTTACTTTTTATATTCCCCTATGCAATGATGGAGATGGAGAACTTGGGATCAGCAGAATTGGGTAATTGGGGCTTGTCTACCATTTGGTTCTTCCCTTTGTCCACCTTTATGCATGCATTTATTGATTTTTCAAGTTCTTGGGCGTGAGCAACTGGACTCGCAGAGTATGCAGATTCCTTTTGGAAAAGACAAGTGCATGCGGCAGGAGGAAGTGTAGCGAGCTCCTCAAGCTCGTTCACGCTCCCGTCGTTAGTCCTATTTCTATTTTGCCATTGTAGTAGTAAATCGGGCCAGGGCATCAATGCAATCCAACAACAATAGAGTTAATAAACAAACTTGAGAAAAAAACCGGGGGCAGACCTTGAATGGGTCGATTATATCTTCCAAACCATAGAATAACATGCAAAATTGTTGCCCCCGGAATTCTTCAATTCAATAAAGAGCTTGATGGCTTATTGTGGGATGAAGCACTTGATTTTGCAAGCGAAATCCTGCAAAAAGAAATTCAAGTTCTTTTTGTCGAAGAGGGCTTTCAAGTTCTAAATGGGATATCAAATCCCAATTCAATGGCATACACGAAGGAAACCCTTGGCTGAAGGAGGACCTTATGATTAAGATCTTATCCGGGATCCTTATTGCAGTTGATGCTACTGAATCAATTGCTTTATCTTTCATACCTACTATTAATAAGTGCTTTCCTCTGCTTCCTACATCAAAAACTCAATCGCAGGCTTATGATAAAGAATGATTAGTTCTAATAAAATTTGTAATATGAATGCCTTTTACGATATAAGGTGTTATTCTAGGATTCCATTTCTTAATACCATGCCAAAATGAACCCCTGCTCCCATCATCTCTTCCAAATTGATGTCCCAATATATTCTTGTCCTTTCTATCTATACTTCCTCTTATTTTTTTTTTAGAGATGATGCACCTAATTTCACATCTAATGGTCAAGATTAATTGTGACCACCTTGTCTGTGGCCACAATTAATATTGATTATTGGATGTGAAATTAGGTGGCTATATATAATCCATTAACCAAGCTCAAAGTTTAAAAGAAATTTTATCGAACTTTATGACACATCCAAACTATCACATTTCACATCGGATGGTTGTAAGTAATTTGCTACCTCCTTATTCCAAAGGTAAATGACCTCATTGGATACAATCCCTTTAATGTTTATCATTTTTAAAGGGAATTGATTTTCTATGATTCGTATCAAATAAAAAATTTATATAATGGAGTTTTTTCACCAGGAAAATTAAGAAAGTAAGAATCAAACATGAAATTCAAATTGAAGACACGATTGGAAAAATATTTAAGAATCTAAAGTCGAGAAAAACCAGCAAAAAGACACGCAAGATTCCCGTCTCTATAATACGATACGTGTACCAGCGAGGCCATGTGACTGAGTGGGAATAGAAACGTAGAAATGACGTAAATGACCCCACACGTGGGGACAAAACATCCTAATTGCCCCTACATTTCTCTCTATTTTCTCTTCTTTTCAATCTTCCTATGACCCTGTCAACTTACAAAATTATCAAAAAAAAGTACTTTCCACAAAAAAAAAAAAACCAAAAATTACTAAAATGCCTTCACATATACGATAAGATAACAAAATTACCCGTCCGCATCTCCTTAAGTTAATCTTATGTTTGATTTTGATCTGACCCTTCTAAGATTTGCATGCTTCTTTAATGATTTATTTCAGTGAGCTATAATACAGTTCAGTGTGATCTGCACTATAAAATGAAAGAGTTGCAAAAATCATGATTGAAGGTTTCGAATGATGAGAAATTCAAGGTTTTAGAATTCACTAAATTGGATTAGAATCGCGGATGTGAATTGAATTTAGTAGATTATTGGGTTCACTTATTTACCTTGTTTCGTATGTTTGTTTTGTTTGATGAGTCAAAACTCAAATCATAAAAAACATCCTTTCCATATGGATTTATGCTAATTTTTCTTTATTTTATTTTATTTTGATAGGATTGCCAATTCAGTTGATTCCAATCGTCAAATCACAACTGACCTGCATCGGTCCAGTAGAGGTTTGATTTAATAGGGTGATCCAATTATTAGAATCCTAAATGAGAACCATATATAGGATGGGGAAAGTATAATATATTTTTATGATCATAGAGAATGGTTGTTCAGAAGTGTTAATGACTGACCAAGGTCATGATGGAAAGATAGTCAGGTGTGCCATAAGATGATTATAATCTTATGACTATGGAATTCTTACGGTTATATACATCATCGAACCTTTTTTTTACAAGGATGATATAATAATTTTTTTACAAGGACATTTTTTGAAATATATCTTTTAGGGGCATTTTCGTCATTGAGAAAAATTTGGACCGTCCAATGCATTTTCAAGAGGCGGTTTCAATCACGAAAAAACGTAAGAAGGCCTGGCAGAAAATAGGGTAAAAAAGAAAGGGCATTATAGGAATAAAAGATGGAACAAGAGGCGGACAGGTAGGCACCTGGTTTTATCAAGCGTGGGACCCAGAAGGGGCAGGCCACCCTGAATGAGGCTAGAGCCAGCTGCCACCCTCCATTCTCTCTCCTCTCTTTCTCCTTGTATATTTCCCCTTCTCTCCACAAACTCTTACTAACTCCATCAACCTCTGCTCCATAACTTCTCTGCAACTTCAAGTCTCCATTACTGGTAAGCCGTTTTCCTTGTGTTTTTACACTCTTCCCTTCCTTTTTTTATTGTGTTTTTTCAGAGGAATGTTTTCCTCACTTGTCAGCTCATTGATTCTGTTTCCAAGAACTGAGAGAAGTCACGGTCACGGCTGCCTGCCTTTTCCATACCTCCTCTCTCTCCCTGGGTCTGTTTGGATTCTTTGTGGTGTTTGGTTTGTATCCTGGGATATTGATTTCCCTTTTTCTCAAACACAGGAAACCTCTCTCTCTCTCTTATTTCCTGATATGGGTTTGTCTTGTTTTTTATTCTTGACATATTTGTTTCTCTATCTTACAATAAAAAAATCTTTGTATTTTGATGTTTTGTGCAGTTTACACAGCAGCTGTAGGAAATATGAGTTACTGGAAGGACAAGGTTCTCCCCAAAATCAAGAAGTACTTTGACAAGCCAGCCAAGAAGAAGGCGGCTGCTGAGGCTTGCAAGCTCTTTGATGAATCCAAGGTCATTTCCAATTATTTTCTTCAGTAACTTTTATTTTATGCATGCTTATTTACTCATATCTTATATTGTTCTGATCTTTTATCTCTTTTTAATGGGTTTGTTTCTTTTTGTTTATAGGAAACCATTAACAAGGAGTTTGAAGAGAAGAAGACTGAACTCCAACCCAAAGTAGTTGAAATCTATGAAGCCTCGTCCACTGAGATTAAGGTTTGTTAAGATAAATATAAATAAATAAATACACATAAATAAAAACGATTGATGTACAATGAAGCGATTGGAAATATAAAGTAGTTGGAACATATACATGTTATAAATGATTGATATTTCAATAAGGTTGACATAATTGGTAGTTTGTTCCATCCATGCATGTGTACAAAAATGGATATTTGCCAACTGAATAAAGAATAGTTTCCCATACTACAACAATAATGTTTTATTAAGAATAATATCAGACAGTTTAATGGTTTTTCATATTTATTTTTATTGCTAAGAGCGAGAAATATTTGTGTGCACAGACTGTGGTGAAGGAAAAAAAAGAGAGTGGTATAAAGAAAAACTCACCTGCAGTTCAGAAATTCCTTGAAGAACTAGTTAAGATTGGTGAGACCCTAATCCATATTTCTCCCTCTTCTTAATTTCATCAAATCCTGTGTGCTTGTTTCGTGTGTGAGAGAGAGATTCATTTTCCTCTTCGCTTTCTTTTTTGTGTGTGTGAGAGAGAGGGAGAGAGAGAGAGAGGGAGGGAGAGATGGAGGGAGAAAGGGATTCATTTTCCTATTCCCTCTTTTTTTGTGTTTATGGGGTGTGTGTGGATCTATAAGATCAATATCCCCATGTTAATTGGATTTTTCATTATTCACCTTTTGTTTGTGTGTGTGTGTGTTTCTGTGAGAGAGATAGGGAGAGAGTGTTGTGTCTCCTAACTAAATTAATACCCCTGATTTCACCAGAATTCCCTGGTTCTAAAGAAGTATCTGAGGCCTCAATAAAATTTGGAGCCCCATATCTGTCGGGCCCGATCATCTTCATTTTCGAAAAGGTCTCCACATTCATAGTAGAAGAGAAGGTCGATCGCGAAGTTACAGTTGAGGAAGTCAAACCAGTTGCAGAGACCAGTGAAGAACCTGAGAAAGCTGTGATCACAGAGGAGAAATCTTCAACTGAAGTCGTCGAAAAAGCTGAAACCGTTGAAGAAACGGCACCACCCACCGAAACAAAAGAGGCTAAAGAGGCTGAGAAACCAGAAGGAAAGGCAAACCCATGACGAAATATTTCTCCTTCTCTCTAAAATGGAGATTGAATTGGGATTCTTCTCTGTAAAATTACTGCAAATATGATGCATGCGTTTGCTTAATTTCTCATTCTTTCGAATCTTTTTTTTTATTTAATTTGTGTTTCATTGATCTGTAAAAGAAGTTTTGGGGGGGTCTCCATCTGTGTTGATTAAGCTCTGAGAAGAGCAAGGAACAATGACTTTAGAGTCTTGTCTGGTTTTCTGGTTTTTCTCCGACACTGTAATTGAGTCGTGTGTTCATTTTTACTGTCATTTATTTAAGATTATTCTGTTATCTTTGAAATAAAAAAATAAAAATAATAAAAAAAAAAAACTCAAATGTATTAAGTTATTTAGGAGAAAATTGAATAAAATTAGTTTTCCTTGAAAATATATGAAAAAATGGTGGTTTAAGGTTGTTTGTGTATCTAAATTTACTGGGAAGGATATAAATGGAAATTGTCAGAAATTACCCATACTTTTTCCAGTAAATTCTGTGGGCTCTATTCTTTACAAAATACCAAGAATGCCCTCAAAGCTTGTAAATTGAGCCCCATGGCCCTACTGAGAAGGTTGACATGCGGTGGTGGTAGCACCTTCATAGCTAGCTAGTTATGTGGTTTCTAATCCTATTGATGTCATCTAGTTCAAAAAAAAAGTTAAAACTGTTTAATCTATTTGAAAAAAATGGTAAAGACTTGTTTTTCTTACTAAATTATTAAAAAAAAAAAAAAATCTGACATTATGGTAATTTTATTTTTAATTATATCTAACATGGTGGTTTTTAGTGCTTTTTTCAACAGTGGTGATTCTTTGCTTTTTTTCAATGATGGTGATCCTTGGGAAGAGGTTTAAGAGTGTACATTTGATCGTCATCATTACCAGAGTTATTTTTCCACTATTTTGGATAAGTTATGTCTTTCATTTTGTTCTATATTAAAGGTTATATTTTAATGAGGGTAAAAAATATTTTTGAGATATTTATATATTGTAAGTATTCAAAACAATACCTTGCCATGAAGTCTTGGCTATTTGTTGCAATCAACTCCTACAAAGCTCAACAATTATTGAAGCAACAATTATTATTTTTTGAATGTTCAATTTGAAAGACAATAATTTTTGTAACATTTGAATGTTAAAAGTTTGAAACCCAATATTTTTATTTGAATGCGAACATTGAAATCCAATATATTTTATTTTATGTTTATTTTACTGTTCATAAATTATATATATTTTGTGTGGAAGAATTGACTAGGTTGGTGGCAATGAATATCAATAAAATTATTGAAGATGGGGGACCCAAGCTCATGCTTATCCACACCACTCCTACTCCCAATTTCTTCTATAATTATATTTATCAAATCATAGTAAGTTGATGGACTTGAAGAGTTTTTCTAAAGCAAATGTGCCTCCTAAAACTCCAACCGTTGATCCCAACAAACTCGAGATCTCGACCGTCCATCATGTTGGTGGGGCATAAGAAGATATAGGAATCAAATCAAACGCCAAACCATCGCCCCTCGTGTCCATCTCATGTGACTTGGCTTTTCATTTGGCTTCATCCTAACCCACCGCCTCAATCGCAGGGACGTATTCGAAAATATGCCAATACCCTTAGGGCCATTATAGTCATTTCTTAAAATAACCAGAACAGATAGCATGGACTGAACACACCTTGCATGTGAGGAGGGACAAAGTGGTCATTTTAGGTGACTTGGGGAATGGGTGTCTTGGTTGGAGGGGCATATTTGCTATTTCTTGTAAGGTGTGATGGGCATGATTGTCATTTTCCCTTCAAACCAGGGTACTTAAAGAGTGAAGGGCACAACAGTCATTTACCTAAGGGAGGAAACACAGCAAGGGAAAAATAGTTATTTGTTAAAATAATTTTTAGATGATAAAGATGGTTCTTGCTTCCCTTCTGCCGGTATGTAGTTTAGGGAAGAAGTCCTTGGTCTTGGCCTCTGGCCTACACGGAGCAAGGGAGCCAGCTCTAAGCCTCTAACCTTCAAGGTTCAAATCTCATTTTGTCAATTTCAAAAGAAAAATAGAAAATCCTATTAAAATAATTTTAAAAATAGTTTTGGAACAGTTTTTTTAATTAAAGAAATTTAAAAAGAAAAAATTTATATAGAGCTAAGGTTCTAAACAATTAAATGAGAGTATACCTCATTGTTTTGACGTTCAAATATCCTCAAATTGATCATCTCGATGTCAAAATGTGTAGATATGAGAAAAAAAAATGGATTTCAAGTTTTGGAAATAGTGCATCTTGTAATGCCTTTTTGGCACATCAATTTTCAAGTTATTATAAATCGGCTCGATCTACACTATTTTTTAAGCTTGAAATTTTATAATTAGATGTTGAAAATATATTTTAGGGCTATCACAAAAGATTTCCAGTATTGGAACCACATTTTTTGACAGTATTTGAAGGTGTGATTTATTGTGATTGTTTAGAGCCTCGGCTCTATACAAACCACACCCTTTAAAGAATTACAAAGTAATAAATTTTACTTAAACTAACAAAGAGACATCATAAGTTCAGGATCCATGAAAAGATGTAGCAAAGTTTTATGGTGGTTGCCCGAATAACACAACCCTCACTTTTCAAATAGACAAATAAAGAAATACTTGGACATGTCATTAGTGATTTTTTATGGAAAGGGTTAGGAGAGGGCGTTAGCTTTTCAAACCATATCACAAACTTCAATTGGAAAAAGTTATTTGTAAGCCATAAAACCTCAATTTTATCATCTCAATTCCAATCCCAAAAAAGGAAAAAGTTTATATAAAGGCGAGGCCCTAAACAATCAAATTAAGGCGCACTGTGTACCTCAAAAATTCACTAAAAGAAGTTGTTTTGATGCCTCAAAGTCCTCAAATTGATCATCTCGACTTCAAGATGTATAGACTTAAGAAAATATAGATTTTTAAGTCTTGGACATAGTCCATCTACACTATTTTTGAAGCTTTCAATTTTATAATTAGAAAAAAAATAAATTTTCAAGCCATCACAAAGATTTCCAATATTGAAACAACATCTTTCAACACTATTGGAAGGTGCGCCTTACTTTGATTGTTTAGGGCTTTGGCATTGTACAAACCACACCCCCTAAAAAATATTATATCTTGTCGTATATTATCTTGATCCTCCATTTTCAAGTGTTCACAAATTTGCTAGGCCAGTGCCACTTTTTGTGTTTCAAAGCTCTTAATCAAGGGTGTTGATATATTTGCAAGCTATCATTAGGAGAAATGCAATTTTGAAGTGTGATTTTACTTTTTATGTATAGGATCTTATACAATGAGATTATTTATCTTTATTACGAGGAGGTCACAATCACTCCTACTCATTAGATGTCGAATTGGATAGCTTGGGCTAACTATAAAATCCGTAAAAAAAATTTAAAAAAACTATGAATCGTTTCAGTTCACAATTACAACCACCTAATTTGAAATCCAAGGGACCAAAGTAATTATGACCTCCTTGTTCAAAAAGTAAATGGTCTCTTTGTATACTTTTTCTTTATGTATTAAGTGAGTCATCCACAACTTCATCCGGTAACTACCTACTCATCCACAACAT